ATAAGAATTTCAGCAGCTTCACCTCTCTGTTTTTTCATGAAATAGCATCAACTAAATTAGAATGAACAGGAATCTGCCTTTGTGCTCTTGCTCTTCTCTGATAGAAGATTGAATGAACTCAGTGCTCATGAGAAAGTGCTATTCCTTCAGTAGGGGAGGGAGGTGATTCCAAGAGAGATTGCAGAGGAAGGCAGTATTTTACCCGGTGCCAGTTCGTGGCTTTAGGTATGATTGAGAGGTGGCTTGAGTCAGGGCTCTTCTTGGACCTTTCTCTGGTGACCAAGTGGGTCCTTACCTAACACCCTCTTGAATACACCCCTCCCATTCAAAATAAATAAAAAAGCCTGAAGAGCAAAATTTTTAAAAATTGAATGAGAAAGAGGGAGAGAAAGACACATCAATTTGTTATTCTAGCCGAAACCGGTTTGGCTCAGTGGATAGAGCATCGGCCTATGGACTGAAGGGTCCTAGGTTCGATTCCAATCAAGGGCATGTGCCTTGGTTGCAGGAGGCAGCTGATCGATGATTCTCATCAATGTTTCTGACACTCTATCCCTCTCTCTTCCTCTCTGTGAAAAATCAATAAAATATATCTTTTAGCCGAAACCAGTTTGGCTCAGTGGATAGAGTGTCGGCTTGGGGACTGAAGAGTCCCGGGTTCGATTCCAGTCAGGGGCATGTACCTTGGTTGCGGGCACATCCCCCGTGGGGGGTGTGCAAGAGGCAGCTGATCGATGATTCTCTCTCATTGATGTTTCTAACTCTCTCTCTCTCTCTTCCTCTCTGTATAAAATCAATAAAATATATTAAAAATATATATATATATCTTTTTAAAAAAATTTGTTATTCCACTTATGCATTTATTGGTTGATTCTTGTATGTGTCCTGACCAGGGATTGAACCCACACCTTGGCATGTCTGGATTACCCTCTAACCAACTGAGCTACTTGGCCTGGGCCTGAAAAGTAAAATGCAGTGGATAAGAAAGGTTTCAGAAAGGGCAGTAGGGCAGAGCCCCAAGTCTGGGGGTGGAGGGTGTGGCCTAGAGCTGGGTGGTAAGTAAAGGGAGAACCTTGGCCAAGGCTCAGGACCTTTTCCTGCTATAGACCAGCCTCTGTTCTCTGGACCTGCCTATTCAGGTTTTCCCCTCAGCCATGTCCTACAGGCCACACTTTTCCCAGCCTCTCGCCCTGCTTTGCCCACACCTTGGATGTGCTCCACCTGGCCGGTGAGGAATGGGTGCACAGTGCTGCTGAGGCTTGAGGGCAAAAGACCAGTCCTCCTCCCCTTTCTGTTTCTGTGAAGATGACTTCCCCTAGCAGACCCTGCTTTGACACTCCAGCTGGGCCTGATCTCCCCTTTGATTCTGAGACCGGAAGTGCCTGGGGCTGAGATGGCTCTTTGGCTGTCTGTAGAGTACACTTGTGATTTTGCCCCTGGCTTGGGTGGCTCAGTTGGTTGGGCATCTTCTCATGCACTGAAAGGTTGCTGGTTCGATTCTTGATCAGGGCACATGCTCGGGTTGTGGGCTCCATCCTCAGTAGGGGTCATGCAAGAGCCAGCCGATTGATGTTTCACTCTCACATCAATACTTCTCTCTCTCTCTCTAAAAATCAATAAAGTAATCAATCAAAGACCTTGTATGCATATATGTATTACCTATGGACACAGACAAGATGCTGAAGACTTGGGATGGGCAGTGTTGGGGGGGGCATAAGAGGGTCAGTGGGGGAAAAGGGAGAACATATGCAATACTTTCAGCAATAAAGAATATTTTAAAATCAGTGAAAATACTTTTTAAAAAATAGAGTACACTTGGATTTTGGACTGGCCATCTTTCATGGTAGTTGGCTATTTGCTCTTCAGAGCTGGGAAAAGCCAGACTGGTTTTCTTCAGTGAGAGCTGGCTTGACATGATCTAAGTGAGTAGTGATATGCTCTGGGAAATCCCTCCTAGGAACCTTTCCCCAAGGGACCTGGGCTGCCTGTGCCTGGGAGGACGGGGCTCCCAAGAGGAAGAGGGTGATGCTAAGAGAACCCAGGCACCCTGTCTCTTGCAGTTACAGAAGTTCCTGGTTGAGCTGGTGTATAAGTGGGAGGGGCAGGAGAGCAGAAGGATTGGCAGAGCTGGAATGAGAACCAAGCCTACTACTTTCCAGGGTTGTCTTTCTCTAAGGAGTTGGGTCACCTCCTGCAGGCCAGGAGCCCCCTCTGCCCAGTTCCACCGGGAAAAGGTGGAAGCTGTAGCCCCAGCTTCAGAGCATGACTCGCCCTCTCCCCTCGGTTTGGAGTGCAGTGAAGCAGGCAGCAGAGACCCCAGCCTCTTCTCAGGGCGCTGAGTGACATTGCAGCCTTAGGCACCACATGAAAGTTAAGAGTTGTTTTGCAATGTGCCTTTGATGGCCTGGGGTGTTTTTAGTGGATGACAGAATCAAGGGAGGCTAGCAAGAGACTCTTATGCTTGATTTGGAAATGTGACACGTCCTCTATGATTTAGAGGCTTCCCTGGATAGTCAGCCAGAGAATCACGGCAGCAGTATGGAGGGATTGGAGACAGAAGGGGGACGGGGTATCCCTGAGGGACTGGAGGTAAAGAGAGGGATACTCTACAGAGCAGGGGGAAAGCAGGGACAGACCAGTCACCCTCAATTAAGAGCTTTTTTGCTCTTTTCGTTTTCCAGGCTTGAAAGCACCTCCCTCTCCTTCCCATCTACCCCCTATTTGCTCTGTGTTTGTCCGTGTTCTTAAGGCCACGAGCCCAGGGGACCTCAGCCTCGGCTCCCTGCCATTGTCAGGCCTGACTCCTCTGGTAACTTGGGGCCTGTTGAGGGGCCTTGGCCCCTGCTCCGCTGTGTGGTCTGTCACTGTCCTCCATCTCCAGGCCCTCTGGGGGTGGGCGAGGGTAGGGTCTAGGCTTTCCTAGGAAATACAGATGTTTTTCTCCTTGTTGCTGCTCCTCCACCTCTGGCACAGGGGTATCCTGCATTTGAGAAAGGGGCCTGTGAATTATAAGTAACCGGGTGCTTAAGCACGAAAGGATACATTGCTAATCAGCATGCTGAGCAAACAGGGATGAGGGGTCACCATGATTAGAAGCAGGAGTCTAAAGGAGCCTAGCAGATGCTTGGGATTTTTTAGGACCTCTCCTGTCTGTGTTTCAGGAATGAATGGATTTACCTTCTGTGACTCTGAGGCATCCCTGGGGGTCTGGTCTCTGGGCAGTGGCAGGTTCCCCGCATTGTGGCCAGAGCAACTCTGGGCATGCTGCTTCTCTTTTCCAGTTTTCCACGTTCTTTCTCAGGCACGAGGGACACCCATGCTGCCCCGGTTTTCTGAGCATTCTGTCTCAACTAGTACAGTATGTCTCAGCAGAGTAGGTACTCAGTGACCCCAGTCATTGACCCTAGGACACTGGAGCTAGCTGGGAAGGCTCTGGAATCCCTGGGAGCCTCAGGCCTGGGACTTTCAGGGTTAAATCTTGGCCCAGCAGGAGCTCTCCCAGCTCCTGAGTTAGAGTGAGTGTGAATAACAATTACAATGGGAAAATAAAGCTGAAAAGCCCAAGTCTACTGGATGGGGAGGGGATTGCAGGGTGCCAAGGAGGGCAGAGACTAATTTGGCATCTTGGCAGCACCTTGCTTTGGGTTGGGGAGTAGGTGAGGAGTAAGCCACTCAGTAGTCTATGACAACCAACAACTCCCCTCCCCACTACTCTATTACCTTTGGCCATAACAGCTTCTAGCACACACCTAGCTCTGGCCTCCCTCATTCAGAATGGGGTCCAGGCTGCCACAGGTATGTTGGGGATGGAAGTGTTTGACAAGCAAATTTAGGGGATGGTGCCTGGGCATGGGCATTTTTTTTGCTAGGGGCTCTGGGCTTGTAGAAGACCTGCAGGATAGGGCAGGATTAACAAGACGCTTCCATCAGCCCCGAGTTAGTTCTTCTCCATGATACTTTCTTTTCCCGGCTCTTAGTGGCTGTTGGAGGAGTCTTTAAAGATGTACCACACTCGTGTGTGGTCTCTATGTTCCCCCCAAAAAATGCTGGCCTGGCCGTAGCTTTACTGACATTCCTTCCCTAGGCACTGGCACTGTTTAGGCTGACCTTCCCTGGAATCCCCTGAGCCAAGGTGGGTCTGGCTCCCAGGGCTGACTGGGACCTCCCCTGACCACCGACTCCTCAGAGCCAGACCTTCACCCTTCCTTGACTTTTCCAGCAAGACCGGATTATAGCTGCCAGTTCTGCGTGCTCAGTATGCGCAGTAGGGCGCCCGCACACACGCCGGACTCTGACTCATTCATGGCCCAGCAGGCAGCTTCCTCATCTCAACTCACAGTCCATCTCCTATCATCCCGTGGCCAATCTCAAAAGCCCTATCAAGGGGGAAAGGGTTAGTAATATTTTTGAAGAAGTAGATAGACTCCCGCTACCCAAGCCCCCATCCTTGGCTCAGTGTCTTCAGAGCCTCTTCCTGGCTAGAGAAGAGTAGCTAACTGAGAAAAACAATCAGAATTAAGAGCTTTGCCCCTAACTCCTATCTTCTGACCCTGGGGCCCTGGGCTAAAAGAAAAATGGGACAGCTGGTTTGGCTCAGTGGATAGGGCTTCTGCCTGCGGACTGAAGGGTCCCTGGTTAGATTATGGTCAGGGCACATGCTCAGGTTGTGGGCTCAATCCCCAGTAGAGAGTATGCAGGAAGCAGCCTAACAATGATTCTCTCTCATCATTGATGTTTCTATCTCTCCCTCTCCCTTCCTCTCTGAAATCAATAAAAATATATTTTAAAAATAATAAAAAATAAAAGAACAGGGCAGCCATTCCTTGCACAGCTGCTGGTACCCTGACCTCATTGAACTTTTGCACTCTGAAAGAGGATCCTATGAAAATCCAGGCTGGAGATGGGGTGAGGGTAGGCCAGAGTTACTGTAGGTGGGGGGAAAGAGGGCAGGGCAGGCTTTTCTCACTGCCTTCCTCTGTCCTGCAGATTGGAGGTACTTCATGACACACACTCGGAGGAAGTCCCTTCCCATGCTGAGTTCGGGCCCCATTGGCCGCCGGGAGCCCCTGCAAATGGAAGGCAGCAATATGGAGCAGGGGGCAGAGGGTATGGACCCAGGCATGCCTGAGAGCCCAGGGCACCCCACAGGGCGCCGCAAGAACTACCCACTACGTAAGCGTCCCCTGGTTCCTGAGAAGCCCAAGGCCTGCAAAGTGCTGCTGACCCGCCTGGAAAATGTGGCTGATCCACGGAGTGCAGATGAGGCTGATGAGCTGCCCCCCGACCTTCCCAAGCCCCCCAGCCCGGATCCATCCAGTGAGGACACTGGCCTCACCCAGCCCCGCAAGCGGCGCCTGGCCTCCCTCAATGCCGAGGCCCTGAACAACCTGCTGCTGGAGCGAGAGGACACCAGCGGCCTGGCGGGCAGCCGCCGCAGTCGAGGGGGAGACCACCACCACGGTCGGGACCGGGACAGGGCCACTGGAGGCTTGTCTTCCAAGAAGCGGCCACGACTGGAGGACCGCGGAGGAGAAAGTCGGGATCTGTCCCCAGAGCCAGCACCGGATGAAGGTGCCCGCCGAGATGGTGACCCAGCTCCCAAGAGACTGGCCAGCCTGAACGCAGCTGCCTTCCTAAAGCTGAGCCAGGAGCGGGAGCTCCCCCTGCGGCCACCTCGTGCCCACCCAGAAGCAGACAGGCGCTCCACTGAGCCACCAGCACTGAAGGTTCTGAGGCCAAAGTGGGCCAAAGTCAATGGCAAGAACTACCCCAAGGCCCAGCAGGGGGTTGGCTCTGGGGAGGCTGCAAGCCCACCCAGCTGGCAAGGGTGCCCAGAGGAGCCATGGTTATCTGCAACCCCTCGTGGACCATCCAACCAGCTACCTTACCAGCCCCTGAGCAAGGCTCTGGAGAGCCCCTTAGGGCTGCGCCCCCACTTGCCCCTGCTGATGGGTGGACAGGCAGCCCTGAAGCCAGAGCCTGGGCGCCCAGGAGAGGAGTCGCCTGCCCCCAAGCAAGAACTGCACCAGCCCTCTTTTCCTGCACCCCAGCTGTCCCTCCTGCCCATGCCTGGCAACTCCGCCGACTACAGTGGGCTGTGTGGTCGGCCTGAGCTCACTGCGCTAGGCAGCTTCTACCTGTATTGCAGCCAAGATGGGCTGCAGTGTGGGGGCTACGCCCCATGCCCCATGCTTCCCGAGGGCAAGCTGTCCCCAGTGGCTGCGCCTACCGAGGGGCCCCTTGTGGCCCCGAGCTCAGTGCCTGCGGGCACCTCTTTCCTGCACCCTCCCTGGGGCTCTCACTACTGTTCCAGCGAGGATGCTGAAGTGAATGGCTATAGCATCTGTGAAATGTTGCCCCCTTCTCTTACCCACATTGGCACTACCTGTGGCGGCTGTTCCTACAAAATGCCTTTTGCAGCAGGTAAGCCTTCCTGAGGATGGGATGTACCAGGGAGTCTCTGAGACACAGTGTCCCAGGAGCGTGGGCTGTGGGCTCCTTGAGGTATCACTGCATGGGAGGCAGGGGCTTTGAAAGAGGAGGACTTCCCTCGTTTTGTGTCCGAAGCCTAGGAGCAGTTCCAGGACAGGGGCCAGTGTTTAGCTTTTAGCAGCCCTGCTCTGTCCCCACTGTCTATGGAGAGATTTCTTGGCCTGACAGCATTGGCTGCCATAGGTAGCATTGTCATGGTGGAGGGGTCAGGAGGGGCCTCTTCCCTCCCCAATGGGATTGCCAATCTTAGACTCTGAGTAGCAAGTTCTTAAAATGAGGGCTTTTGCCAAATTGTTTCTATGTCCCTTCTGTCCTCCTTGAAGAAAGCTAGAATTCCTTACTTTCCAGGAGCCCAAACCATCTGCATGCCAGCCAAGTACAGCATTCATAGAAAGGATAGGAGTTACAAGGTCCAGTAGGTGATGCCAGCTGCAGTAGAACAGCTTTATCCTGGCTACACAGGCTTTGAAAGAGAAGAAGTGCCCAGACTTAGCATCACCTCGCTAGGGGTGGATAGGGTGGGCACACTCTAAGAACAGACAGAGTCCCTGGCACTGACAAGGTGTTCTCAGGGCCTGTGGCTTTGGTGTCTGCCTTCCTGGCAAGACCCGGACACCTGAGAGGCTCATGATGCAGCTGATGAGACACCCCCACAGTGATCTCTCTCCCCCCAAATTGGCAGGAGTGTCCTCACATACTTCTCCAGGCTCCCTTCCTGGCTCCTGAGTGGAAACAAGGTGATCAGAGCCATCCTGGCTGGCAAGTTGGCCCTGCTGCTGGTGAAGTGAGAGGCCAGGCCTTCCCAGGCTTCCCCTCCCCCACACCCTCTTGTAGGGGGTCTATAAAACAACTTTATAGACCAGTTGACTCTGGCCAGACTGGTTGTTTCAGCTTCTGGTGTGAGTTGGAGTTCTAAGAAATGAGAACAGCCTTCTTCTCGAGCTTTTTCTTCTCTTTTGGACCACTTTCCAAGTCTAGACACCTAACCTGGGGACCCAAGGTCCTTACCGTCTTGTCCTGGGACCGTGTGTAAGCACCATGTGCCAGGCACTGTTCCAAAGCACTTTACAGATGGGAGGCCACGTGGCATGTAACTGAGCATAGACTGCGGAGTCAGGCTTGGAGTGAAAGGTTGTCTCCCACTTCCTTAGTCACGTGACTGGGACCAGCCAATAACTATTCAATGTCCCAGTTTCTTTAATTGTAAAATAGGAATAATGCTACCTGCCTCATAAGGTTGTTGTGAGGGTGAGGTGAGTTAACACATTGATAAGAAAAACACCTAGAACAGACTACATATTTGCAATCACTATTGCAAGGCACTGGGAGGTCAAGTGACTTGCCTGAGATCACACAAGCGTCAGGTTTGGGATTCATATCCTGAGCTGTCTGATTCTAGCTCCTCTGCTCCTAAGCATGTGGAAGCCTTAGAAAAGATTAATTCACAGCTAGAAAAGCTAGTCCCATTATCCACTACCTTCTTTCAGGTTAGAAGGGGAGATGGAGATGTCTGTGGCCCAGTCTCCAAGGCCAAGAAAACCCTAGTCACTCTTGACAGTCTACCTTAAAGGCCCCTGACTCAACTTGTCACCTCAGTAGCCTTTGGGTTCACACTTAGAATTAAAATAGAAGCAGGCTCTGAAAGCAGAGAGGCCAGGGTGGGGTTACTGCTTGTCCTTACTTGTCCTGACCTTCTTTCTCCTTTCCCAGAAGGCTGCAGGTCCCTGGGCCAGCTGGAATTTCCTCTTCCAGAAGCTGGCCACCCCGCCTCACCTGCCCACCCCCTCCTGGGATGTCCTGTGCCCAGCGTGCCACCTGCAGCAGAGCCCGTCCCTCATCTTCAGACACCCACCTCAGAGCCTCAGACAGTAGCCCGTGCATGCCCTCAGAGCGCCAAGCCTCCGAGCGGCTCCAAGTCAGGTTTACGCACAGGCTCCAGCTGTCGGCACACTGTGAGGAGCAAGGCTGCCCGCAGGCCCAGCCACCCCAAGCAACCGCGTGTCCAGCGCCCACGCCCACGCCGCCATCGCCGCCGCCGCACTAATGGCTGGGTCCCTGTTGGGGCTGCCTGTGAGAAGGCTGTCTATGTCTTGGTGAGCACCCACTCTTAGCTGATGGAGGAAGAGAGGCTGATATTGGGGACATAGGGCTTGAAGTGAGTTGTGTCTCAGGAATCCTGGCTCTAGCTACTCTGAAAGGTGACAAGGGCCCCCAGCTCTCTTGTGTTCCAGGAACCAGTCATGTTGGCCCAGCCTGCTCCCTTATCCTGTACTGTGCACCTCGGGGAGGTCAGAGGATGCACACAGACACATGTGGCTGCCATCTCTGTCTCTGACTCTCAGGGAAATTATCTGAAGTGTTTTCATCTCTCATTCCTGCTCAGGCTGCCCCTTCTATTCTGGATTTAAAAATGGAGGACTTTCACTCCTCCAGCTGGCTCACTTGGTTGGAGCATTGTCCTGTACACCGAAAAGGTTACAGGTTCGATTTCCAGTCAGGGCACATTCCTAGGTTGTGGGTTCAATTCCCTGTATGGGAGGCAACCAATCAATGTTTCTCTCTCTCAAATCAGTAAAACATATTTTCATTTTCAGCCCTAACCAGTTTGGCTCAGTGGATAGAGCATCCGGCCTGTGGACTCATGGGTCCCAGGTTCGATTCCGATTAAGGGCATGTACCTTGGTTGCGAGCACATCCCTAGTAGGGGGTGTGCAGGAGGCAGCTGATTGGTGTTTCTCTCTCATCGATGTTTCTGGCTCTCTATTCCTATCCCTTCCTCTCTGTAAAAAAACAATAAAATATATACTTTTTAAAAAGCAAAACATATTTTCATAGAGCCTTTTGGATAAGTATGTGTATGGAAAACTTAGATAAGCAGAGAAAATGGGTGATATAAGGACATCTGGGATGATGAAAAGGATGTCGACTAAAATTTATTAAGCACTTCTGAGGTGCCAGAACTGTGCTAATTACATGCATTATCCACTTTCATTCTTAACACTACCCTATGAGGTACATACCCCATGTTCCTATAATTGTCCTTACTTCACAGATGAGGAAACTGAGGCTTGGCAGTAGTAAGTAATTTATCTAAGGCTGCACCACCTACAGTGGTGGTTGAAGGCCAAACCCGGACTATCCCATTAGGAAGCTGGAGGACCTACCCCGTGCTGGGGATCGGAGTGAGAGGCAGTTATTGGGGTACGATAGTCGGTGCAGCCCCACAAGCCTTTTTATATCATTGCTTTATTGCACAGGATGAACCAGAACCAGCCATTCGAAAGAGCTACCAAGCGGTGGAGCGACATGGAGAGACCATTCGAGTTCGGGACACTGTCCTCCTCAAGTCAGGCCCGCGAAAGACGTCTACACCTTATGTGGCCAAGATCTCCGCCCTCTGGGAGAACCCTGAGTCAGGTACGTACCCCCCACTCTGCCTGTATTTGACCTGACACTGGTCTCCCCGTGTTTTTGGCACAGTCTGCCTTCCACTCATCCGGGGTCCGTCTGCTACTGAGGGTTACAGACTGACGGCCTTGTCGCTTAAGTTCGATCAGCTCATTAACCTTTCCAACCACCAGAACCCGGGCACCTCTCCCTCTTCCTCACCTGTCATTGCTTTCCCTCCCCTCCTCCCCCCTTCATACCTAATGGCATTCCAGGCTTCTGAATGCCAGGCTTGGCTTGAGGTAGAGGCTCAGCACTGGCCCAGCACTGAAGTTGGATGAGCCTCCAGGGCAAGTGGCCAGCCTGCCTGCTGAAGTAACTCTGGGTTTGCCAGCTCAGGCTGTGACTGCTTCTCTTGTACCCCCAGGAGAGCTGATGATGAGCCTCCTGTGGTATTACAGACCAGAGCACTTACAGGGAGGCCGCAGTCCCAGCATGCACGAGGTGAGCTACCAGGCAAATGGAACGGGGAAGGCAGGGTTTGGCAGGAGAGGTTGTAGCATAAGGAGTTGATGCGGGGTAGACAGCCGTGGGTAGTCAAGTCCCTAGACCCATTACCTTGGGTACCAGAGAACTTGGGGAAAGGCCTGGGTTTCAGCCTCTTTTTCCCAATTCATGTTTCAAAGGGTTAGGGCAGTGGTCGGCAAACTCATTAGTCAACAGAGCCAAATATCAACAGTACAACGATTGAAATTTCTTTTGAGAGCCGAAAACTAACTTCTGCACATGGGCCACGAAGTTTCAATTGCACTGAAAGTGTGCCCGCACGTGGTATTTTGTGGAAGAGCCACAGTCAAGGGGCCAAAGAGCCGCATGTGGCTCATGAGCCGCAGTTTGCCGACCACTGGGTTAGGGGAAGTGGAGTGGCATACCTAGCCCCCTTTGATGCTGTCTCAGCGTGAGAGGGACGGGGAGAAAGACTTCTCAGGTTCCTTTGCTCCAGACCCGGTGGTGTGTTAGAAGTGGTGCCTGCCCCCCACTCCCCGTCTGAGCCTGCTTTTACTCTCTCCCTCGGGGACTTTTTGGGAAGATGCACACTGACTCCCCCTCCTCCCCTGGTTGGGGGTTAGGAAGCTTAATGACGGGCTGGAGGGGGCACCTGGCTTCTCCTGTCCGCCCTCAGAATCTGGGAGGAATGCCTTGGGGTTCCAGGTGAGGAGCAGTTAGGCTCACATTCCAGGGAAGCCCCCCGGCTTTCTGGGCACCAGCTGGAGTGATCTCAGGTCAGGAGTCTCAGCAGAGGGGTTGGGGTTAATGTCCACTTTCCCCTGGAATTAGGTGCCTTTAACTCCGGTAACTGATCTCCTCTCTCCCCTTGAGTCTTTGCAGAATGAAGTCTTTGCATCGAGACATCAGGACCAGAACAGTGTGGCCTGCATCGAGGAGAAGTGCTATGTGCTGACCTTTGCAGAGTACTGCAGGTGGGTGGTGCCCTGTGTCTCTGGCTAGCCTCTCCCCTCAGACTCCTCAGGGCTATTTGGGGGCTGCCTGTGATCCCTAAGGGATCTCACTGGGCCTGACCTCCCAGAATGTGCTTCCTTACAGCCTGCTTCTGCCATCTAGTATTTTTAGAAGAAAAAAAATAGTTGCTTGTCTGAGGCAGAGTGGTTGGACAGAATTGGGGGGGTGGTTACAGTACGGCTCTCAGAAAACACCAGAGAGAATTGGCAGGTGGTCATGAGGGAGGCCCTGGCAGGTGTGTTTCCCCAGGGACAGACTGGCAGTTGGCAGAGAGTGGGTAGCCCCTAGGACAGGTGAGGAGGCAGCACCAGCCCAAGTGGGGGTCGAAGGCTACTTTCCAGCGCTCTGAGCAGGGTACGGTGGGGAAGGGAAAGGGTGGTCTTTCTGCAAAGGTGGCTTTGTAAAGGTGAACGGTATGTCACTGCAGATTCTGTGCCATGGCCAAGCGCAGAGGCGAGGGCCTTCCCAGCTGGAAGACAGCACTGGTGCCCCCCTCTGCAGACTACTCCACCCCGCCGCACCGCACGGTGCCCGAGGACACGGACCCTGAGCTGGTGTTTCTTTGCCGCCACGTCTATGACTTCCGCCATGGCCGCATCCTCAAAAACCCCCAGTAGCCGCCTCCTGCCCATGGGCAAGTGGGGCTCGGGGCAGGGGCATTGCTTGAAGCACAGCACTTGGTTAAGGGGCCACAGGGACCCGAGGTTGCTAGCCTGTGGTTCTCTTGGGGGGAGGGCAAGGGCCCCTGGGGGTTCCGGATCTTATGGGAGGGAAGGGGTATAAGAAAAGCATCAGAGCCCACAGCTTGGTCCAGGGTACTCTCTGTGGTCCCTGGGCAGAGACTCCTGAAGAAGGCAGTCTTCCCTGAGGCTGGATCAGGCTTGAGGGACATGGGGCCCTGGGGGGAAGAGGAGGTCCTTCAGGAACCAGGCCCAACAGGCCACTCTATCCTCCTCTGGGCCCTTCAAGGGATAGTGGGAGCCAGCTTTACCTCACCCACTGTGTCCTGCTGCTTCCCCATCAGCCTGGGACCAGCCTCTTTCAGATTCTAGCACTGCTCCCAGCTCATTCCTTTGAGGCATAAAGAGCCAGAGTCTGGCTTCCAGAGCATTGACTTCCTCTTCCTGGATTCAGGGCCTTCCCCTGGCTTTCCTCCTCTGCCCCTGCAGTAGCCTCTGGTGCTGGGACAAGTTACCTGGCCCTCAGAGTCATGGGTGTCAGCTTCCTGTTCGCCACCCAGCAAGTCTGGCTTCCCTGAAGTTAACTGATCAGCATGGGCTTGTCATGTTGGGGAGGGCAAAAGGGAGCTAGGAGGGGGGGGGACGAGGGGCAAGGAAAATTGCTACCTGATTTATCGAAGACTTTTCCTCTTGCCTTACACTTGGAGGTTCTAGGAAGCCTCTTGCAGAACTTGACACAGGTCTCTTCAGCTACACCCTCCTGGAATCCAACCTGCCTTTATCACAGTATGTTGTCATGAGGCCATTTGTATTGTCCCACAGCATAGCAGATCCAGCCCCGGGACAGCCCCGTAAGGCAGCAAGCTGGCCTGGGACCCCAGAACCTGGAAAGGCACGAGGTAGACCTGGGCTGAAAGGCTGTTCTCTCGGGCCCAGCCGCAGCCCGCAGTCCAGGTGAGGCTCAGGATGGTCTGGAGCTCCTGAGCCTCACCGCCGGGCAGTGAGCCCAGTGCTGCATGGAAGCTGTCAGTGTGCTGTTTGGCCAAGAATGTCAGGAGCAGCAGCGGTGCAAACTTGGTGCCTGGTGGGGTCTTGTCATCAGCCTGAATGAGGCTACAGATGTGCAGGAGCCCAGCAGCCACATCTCCAAACCGGTCAGGGCTGCTCTGGATAGGAAGCTGAAGCGGTGCCCTGTGGTGACCACTCCTCCAAGTCCTCCCTCAGGGGCAGGGTGTGCGGCACCTGGGCTCTGGCTTCCTTGTGGGACTGGCCATCAGTAGGTGGGTGAGTGCCCCACAGATACTACGGACACGATCATGTTGCTCCCATGCCAGGAGGGTCAACAGGAGGCCCACCGGCTTGGGGAAGTATTCCTGGGCAGGGCAGCCCCTGTGGTCAGCAGCACACCCAGCCCGAAGATGGCACTTCGGAGCCTGTCTCCCAGGCAGCGCTCAGCAGGTTGGGGAACAGGCGGGAAACAAACTGGCTGAGGCAGCACCCGGCCCAGAATAGACTCCCCACCGCAAAGGACTCCTCTGCCGCTGTGCAGCCCCGGTTCGTCTTGCAGAGCAATAATGGCAAGGACCCAGCAAAGGGGGCAAAAGCGTCTCCCCAGCCGCAGCCGCCAGGGCAGGAATGGCCTCACCAGCGTCCTTCCTCAGCCTGGTCCTCGTCGTCCTCAGTGCCGGACAGGCTGTCTTCCTCTGCAGCGTGGCCTTAACCATGTGGCAGAGCTCACTGACGCGCCCGGGGCTGCAATGTGAGGGTTCCCCAGGTGCGTCAGGGCCTCCAGCACGGCCATCGCCTTTGGGCACTCCCACTCCCCGTATGCTGCCTGCATGTAGGGCAGGACCACCTTGGCCAAGGTGGCCTGCAGAGCAGCAGCCTTGGGTTCTAAGGGGCAGCTTTGACAGGCCTTGTGCAGTCAACAGCAGAACTGACCCAGAGCCTCATGGGCTGCCTTGCACACACTCAGGTGAGGGCGCTTCAGAGCTTTGAGTACTTCTTCAAAGATACTCTCCATGTAGGGAAGGGAGGCCCTGGTGATGCCCTTGCCCTGCCACCCCTCACCCTCCTCTTTTGTAGATTGCACTAATTTACATCCCAGTGAAAAAAGCCCAACACTGAATCAGTCCACAGACCTGCTGAGCTGCAGCCACTCACTCTAGGAACTAAAGACCCCATTTTGTTCTTGTTGCCCAGGGGCCTGTTCTCACGCTGCTCCCCAGAGTAGATTAGGAGACTCAGCCCCCTGTTGTCATTTCCAGAACTAGGCCCTACTGTGAAGTTCTCTGTGGGAGGGCTGAAGCAGCCTGGTTCTTTCCTGTTTGTACCAAAGAGGAGCATGTGGGGAGAGGGAGAAGGGCCCTGTGTGGCTTGGGCCTGGTGCTGGGAGACTGCTTGTGAGCACAGCCCTGGGGGCAGGAGCCAAGGAGGGCAGCACTGGATCCTTTACCCCCACGCAGGGGCAAACACAGACCCAGCAGGCTGAGGAGGTAGCACTGGGTGAGGTCAGGCCAGGTTTGGAGGAGATGGAGATGAATCTTGAGGGCACTCCCAGCAACCCTGGCCCTCTGCTCTTCCTGAGAAAACTGGGCTGCTCCTGCTTGGTCACTGAGGTGGGGAGACCTGGATGTCTGAGGTGAATTTATACAGGGAAAGCCCAAGCCCGAAGAGAGGGACTCAGGTTCCCTTGAATAGAATAAGCTGTTTGGAAGAAGGCACTGGTCCAGGAGGGCTGTGCAGTAGGAGAGGTTGGCAGAGTAGGGGCTCTGAGGAGCCAGCCGTGGAGCCTGCTGATTCCCGGGGTGCTGGGCCCTTGCCACCTAGGAGCCCAGCCCCGCCCAGCAGGAGAAATCAAGGCCCTTCCTCCCAGGGTCTGCTACCCAGAACTTAAATGCTTTTGAAATCTCTTAGATGTGGAAATATTTTTTGGAACATGAAAATGCAGCTGGTAGAATTTCGATGGAGCATAATTCATGTAAAATATATTTTAGTTGATAATTTTGTAAAATGCACTTTTTGTGTGTGTCGACCCTGGTTTCTCAGATCTGTATTTCAGTGTTTACAAGGGAGGGAGGATCTTTCCTCACCTCCCTTTTGACAGAGATTAGAAGTACTTCTTTAAGAAAAATAAATTTGAGAAATTGTATTGATTTAGAAAAGTATCATTTTCTGTGTGTCCTGTCATCTTTTTGTGTGTGGGTGCAGGGGGGTCATTATTTTGGGGGTCCCTTCAAACCCTTGCAGTGGAGGGGCTTACTAAAGCCAGTAGCAGAGAACGGGAAGTTGGGGGAGGAGAGAAGATGGGGGGATGAGAGTTGACTTGTTAGCACCGTGGTGGCCAGACCCACCTTCCCGGGCTGGCTGGAATCTCTGGGTTGCCAGTCCTCGCCAGGCTGGCGACCTGGGAACTGGTCAATGAAGATGGCACCTCATCACCTTACGCCGTACCCTTGGGAAGCTGGCCAGCAGGAATTGGCCTAGAGCCCCAACATCTAGGTGCTGGCACTCTGCTGAGGGAATGGTGGCTCATCCTGTGTGCTCACATTGTTAGGATTGGGGGCTTCTAGGAGCTTTCTAGCTACCTTTCATCCTTCAATCCCTCATCCTTCTGAATTCATCTCATCAATGGTGGTGCCATTCTCCCACTAAACTCTGCCTCTGGCCTCAACTGTCCCATCACCTACCCCCTCAGCACAGTGTGTCCTGCCTGGGTCAGCTACTTCCTCCTTCCCAACCATTCTACTTTTGTACTCCATCTCAGAAGAATGGAATCCAGGTTTTAGAATCAGGCCACCCCACAGAGTCTCAGCTCCCAGGAGCCTGCGTTTCTTCAGCTGTGCAGTGGGAAAGGCCCATGGCATCTCGCTCCCAGGGTGACTGACAATGAAGGAGAGAATACAAAGCACTGAACAGGCACCTGCCTCAGGAAGTGTGGACTCTCATCAGGACTACTGTGCCTCAGAGCCTCCCTGGCTGTCCACATCAGGACGGGGTGAAGTCTGGGTACTTGGTAGAATCCAGTGCAGGTGGGGAAAGGCTGGCCACTGACATCCACGGCATCCCCATGTCTGTCTCCAGCCCAGGTGGCCAGCCTGGTGCCTTTGAGCATGTTTGGCTCCAGGCACGGAAGCTCTGCACCCGCAGCTACCCACCCTTTAAAATGTGCGCTGGCCACATCGCTGGTCAGAGGCACCAACTTCTCACTGGCTCCTTGCTAGTTACCCCACCTCTTCATGCCTGGGGAGGGGTAGTCAGCATTACAGTGGATAAACACGCATCGACCAGGTGGTTAAATGTAAGGGTTCCCATGGAGAGCAGCCCCTGGTCAGCGGAGTGGCCAGGACAGGGGGAGTATCCTGGGGACTCTGCTTCAAGCTAGAAACGGGCCTCTCAAAAGTTTGGACTCGGCGCTGGCAGGAGAGTGGGGTGGGGGTGGGGGCCCCTCCAGCTGCGAGAAAGGCAGGACTCAGCCAGGCCAGAGTGTGTGGCCGGTGTAGAGGGCAGGTCCTCTCCGTCCCGCTCCCTGCAGGCACTCGCCGGGGCCTGGATCTCTTTTGCCTTCGGGACCTCGTCAGTTTTTGTCCCCGCAGCTGGAGGACCAGGGCGCCCCGCACTAGGCGCCCTCTCCCGGGCAGGGGTCCTCCCGCCCTCCCGGCCCGCTCCCAGCAGGGGAGTCCGCCCTCTCCCCGCCTCCGGCTGGGCCCGCCCCGCGCCGTGTCACCGGGGGCCGGGGGCGGGGAGCTGCCGGGCGGGACATCCGGCCCGTCCTCTCCCCGCGCCCGCCCGCCGCCCGCCGCCCGCCCGCCCGCCTCGGCGCCTCCACCGGGGAGCCGGCCGCCTCCGCGCGCCCCGGTCCCGGGTCCGCGCTCCCCTCCCGGGCCCCAGCCCCAGCCCCAGCCCGCGCGGCGGCCCCACACCACCGGCGCCGGCTCCCAGCCGCCGCACCCCGTTTCCCGGACCCGCGCGGCCCGGGATCGGCCGGCCGCGCAGGCCCCCAGCCCCGCAGCACCATGTTCCCCCGCCCGCTGACCCCGCTGGCGGCCCCGAACGGCGGCGAGCCCCCGGGCCGGGCGCTGAGGCGGGCCCCGCTGGGCCGGGCCCGGGCCGGGCCGGGGGCGCCGCCGCTGCTGCTGCCGTCCATGCTGATGTTCGCGGTGATCGTGGCCTCCAGCGGGCTGCTGCTCATGATCGAGCGGGGCATCCTGGCCGAGATGAAGCCGCTGCCCCTGCACCCGGCCGGCCGCGAGGGCGCCGCCCGGCCCGGGGCGCCGGCCCTGGACGCCGGCGACGCGGACTCGCAGGTGAGGCAGGACGTCCGGAACCGGACGCTGCGGGCGGTGTGCGGGCAGCCGGGCATGCCCCGCGACCCCTGGGACCTGCCGGTGGGCCAGCGGCGCACCCTGCTGCGCCACGTCCTCGTGAGCGACCGCTACCGCTTCCTCTACTGCTACGTGCCCAAGGTGGCCTGCTCCAACTGGAAGCGCGTGCTCAAGGTGCTGGCCGGCGCCCTGGACAGCGTGGACGCCCGCCTCAAGATGGACCACCGCAGCGACCTGGTGTTCCTGGCCGACCTGCGGCCGGAGGAGGCCCGCTACCGCCTGCAGCACTACTTCAAGTTCCTGTTCGTGCGGGACCCCGCGGAGCGCCTCCTGTCCGCCTACCGCAACAAGTTCGGCGAGATCCGCGAGTACCAGCAGCGCTACGGCGCCGAGATCGTGAAGAGGTACCGGCCGGGCGCCGGGCCCAGCCCTGCGGGGGACGACGTCACCTTCCCCGAATTCCTGCGGTACCTGGTGGACGAGGACCCTGAGCGCATGAATGAGCACTGGATGCCCGTGTACCACCTGTGCCAGCCTTGCGCGGTGCGCTATGACTTCGTCGGCTCCTATGAGAGGCTGGAGGCCGACGCCAACCGGGTGCTGGAGTGGGTGCGGGCACCACCCCACGTCCGATTCCCGGCCCGCCAGGCCTGGTACCGGCCTGCCAGCCGCGAAAGCCTGCACTACCACCTGTGCAGCGTCCCGCGGTCCCTGCTGCAGGATTTGCTGCCCAAGTATATCCTGGACTTCTCCCTCTTCGCCTACCCACTGCCCAATGTCACTCGGGAGGCCTGTCACCAGTGACCGCGGGTGTGGGCCAGCAGCGACTGGTTTTGACGATGCCAGCTTCTTGTGCCTGCCACTCAGAGAAATCCTGGCTCTGAGCCTGGAGCTTCTCCAGATATCTGGATGGCAGGGACTGCCCTTGGAAGTTTGTTTTTTTATTCCAGGGTGAGTGCCCAATGTGGCTCGGAGGACAGCGTTGGACAGGAGGCCTGGTGCTTTCCCATTGGGAAGATTTCTTGGGGGCCGGTATGCTCTTTCTTGTCCTGGCAGAGCCAGATACCAGTTTGCCAGTGAAGTAGCACATCTGTTCTGTAGACTGCACGGATTGGGCACTGGGCCCACCTTAACCTGTGGCTAAACCCAGAGGTGGCACCCATCAGGAGCACAGCCAGAGCCCGGGGCCCCGTGGCTCTGGTCACCCGTTCATCCTCCAGTTAGCAGTCATGCCTTACAAATAACTTCTGTGCCTTTCTGCTTCAGACTCAGTTTCCTACACTTGCTATGATCTTTCTATTCTTTCCAAGGAAAGGAACACTGATTTAGGGCTCTTGCCTGGCAGCTCCAGGCCCCGGCCCTGCAGGCGTCCAAAGAACTCTGTGCCCAGCCTCTTCGCGGGGCTCTGGGCACCTCTCTCTTCCCCCAAGTCTATGACTGTGGCTGGTGTATCTGGCTGCCACTTTTCTGACACATTTATTTAAAATTTGTACTTTTTGATAGAAGCCTTGTGAAGGCTTTGTTTTTCTAATAGCTGCATTTTTATTAAAGATGTTTTGTACACAAAGTCAACATCTCTGATTCTTCTTCTGAGCTTCTGTGCATCGAGCAGATCTCCCAAATGTCCATCTCCCCAGGGCAGGAGAGGGAGCTTGCAGGTACAGAAAGGAAGACAAAATGTAACTTGTTTGGGACAGACTCGTGGGCCACTGCCATACCAGGGAGAATCGGGGAGCTCCCCATAGGCCATCCCCGATCACAGACCCAGCTTCCGGGTGCCACCGCTGGGCAAACCCCGTTAGGAATGACACCCACCTCCCCCGCCCCCCGTGGTTTATTCCCTGAAGAAGGAGGTGGGTGTCTATGGCAGGAATAGTTCTTCACTAAGGATGCCCCCAGATGAAAAGGGGGATTGTTTTGTGAGCAAGGGGAGATGACTATATTCCTGGTCTTGAGAATTACAAGGAAGGCCAGGAGGTTGAGTGAGGAGCAGGCTCTTGCTGACTTAGGTCCCGAGGAAGTGGTGGGCCATGTGGGAGGTTGAGAGCTAGCCTTGCTCTTGGCCTGGCTTTGGAGGAGAAGCTGGGGAAGGGGGCTTCTACGGACACTCCTGGTTCTCGGCCATGACTCACAGGAGGCCTTACCTGCCTTATCTGATCTCCGGTCTGGTCAGGTGCTGCCCTTCAGGGCCCCCTGGACTCGGGGACTTCACCTCAGAGAGCGCTTCCCATGCTCTATTGTCAGAGCCCAGTTACTTGTCAGTCTCCCCACTGAGACTGAATCGTGTGAAGCTGAGACCATGTCTGCTTCGTTCCCAGAACCTAGCCCAGGGACTGGCCTACAATACGCATGTATAGGGCTCAGCAGAACCAAGGTGTCTGTCTCGCTACAAGGACAGAGAGCACTGCACTTGGAGCCACCCAGACGGATCAAGGCCCACCTCTGTCCACCAGCTGCCTACCCGCCTCTCTGAGCCTCCACACACTCCACTGTCTCGTGGGAATAATAACACCTTTGTTACGTCCATTGCTGTGAGGATTAATGAAAACAAATGAGTTAAAGGGCCCATCCCAGCACATGGTTTGGTGACTGCTCTTTGAGATGGGAGTTGAATATCGGATCCCTTTGTGGCCTGTGGGGACAGGGGAGAAGCCCGGACACTGTGTGCACCCAGCGCTGGAGATCAGAGCTGCCTCTGGGTAGAGCCCTTTGACCTGTGGGCTCACTTCCTGTGCTTTCCAGGCAGTCCTCTGAGCTTTCTGCCCCTCACGGGCCCCACCCGCTCTCTGCCCCAGCTTCTTCCTCTTTGGCTGGGAACTGCCGCTTCAGGCCTGCAGCAGCCACTCAGCACCCAGAGGATGCTGGGCCAGCTGCTGTGCTCACTTCATCTCAGTCTTCACAACAGCCCTGTGCTTTAGAGACATGGACACTGGCACAGAGAGGGTCAGTGTCCTGCCCGGAGTCCAACCCAGGGCTGGGAGCTCCCAAATTGGGAGCCAGAGGAGAGAGAGAGAGATGGAAATTGTGAAAGGTGGGGGTTGAGGGAAGAAGGAATGAATACAGAGGTTAAGAAGGTGAAGGGCAACCCTAACAGGTTTGGCTCAGTGGACAGAGCATCGGCCTTCAGACTGAAAGGTCCCAGGTTCAATTCCGGTCAAGGGCATGTACCTTGGTTGCGGGCACATCCCCAGTAAGAGGTGTGCAGGAGGCAGCTGAATCAGTGTCTTTCTCATCGATGTTTCTAACTCTCTATCCCTCTCCCCTCCTCTCTGTAAAAAATCACTAAAATCTATATTTAAAAAAAAGAAGAAGAAGAAGATGAAGGCCAGTAGGGATGCCATATTTACGGGCATGTGCACACATTCTCCCTCGGTTCTTTCATTCCTTCATTTGCAAAGAATCCAGTTTAGTCCAACTGACATTTACCAGTCCCCTCCCTGAAGGAGCAGAGACAGACGAAGTCCTGGATGTGGTGGCTTATTGAACACTCTTCTCAGGCACTAAGGGGTGGCGGGCGCGGAGCCTCCCGGCAGCCAGTGTTGGACACCTGTGGTGTGGGAGGAGGGAGGAGGCAAGAAGATGAGGGGGACTGCTGAGACGAATGGCCACCTATTGTCATTTTCCCCTCTAGAGTCAGCCCCTGAGGAAATCAATTTGTCATCTACCTCTCCTTTTAGGAAAATACCGAGGAGCTGGCAGAGAGATGTGGGATCCAACTGGCCGGAGTGCAGCCTGCTTTATGTTGGCGCCTAGGCCAGAGCTGGGGGCATGAGGGCTGGCAAGCTCTGGGTTGCCAGGGGTGGGGCAGGGGCATTCTCAGGCCTGAACCCCTGGACTGTGACTCCTTGGGATTCTCCCTTTGCATTGAGTCAACTCTCATCTCCATAAGCAGTCAAGCTCTCCACCGCTGCCTCTGAGAACAAGGGTCCCTTCATAACTGACTCCATTCCCTACCACCCAGTCCTCTGGACACAGGGGGACTGGCCATTATTTAACGTCCCTCACTGGTGAAGGGCGGGGAACAAAGGGAAGGGGAGGGGCTGGCAGGGGCCTGGCCTCCCTGGTCTGGGCCCTGACTCCGCTTTCAGGCTCCAACTCTGGTTCATTTTCCACCCTGGATGTTACTGCTGCCCAGAAACCATCTCACCTTAAATTCTGAGATTGTTTCCTCTCCCTTTTCTTCTCACACCTCTGTTCTCTCCCTCCAGGCGACTCCCACCACATGCACCCTGTACAGCAGGCATGTTCTCTGGCCCGTGTTAGCCTGTGAGTTTGACATGCTTGCTGTACAGGAAGCAAGATCTGAGTGGAGCAGCTGACCCTCCCCTGGGTGAACACAGAACCCTCACCTTTCCCAGGGGCTCATCACCAGAGGGGGCCAAGCCTCCTGGCCTTCTCCCAGGATGGGTCCAATGCTTTTTTTAATTTTTTTTAATTTTTTAATTTTTTAAAATATATTTTATTGATTTTTACAGAGAGGAAGGGAGAGAGAGAGAGAGAGCTAGAAACATCGATGAGAGAGAAACATCGACCAGCTGCCTCTTGCACACCCCCTACTGGGGATGTGCCCGCAACCAACGTACATGCCCCTGACCGGAATCGAACCCAGGACCTTTCAGTCCGCAGACCGATGCTCTACCACTGAGCCAAACTGGTTTCGGCCAATGCTTTTTTTTAAATATGTAGTTTTATTGATTTTGGAGAGGAAGGGAGAGGAAGAGATAGAAACATCAATGATGAGGGATAATCATTGACTGGCTGCCTCCTGCACGCCCCCTGTGGGGATCGAGCCCACAACCAGGTCACGTGCCCTTGACCAGAATCGAACCTGGGACCCTTCAGTCCTCAAGCTGACGCTCTATCCACTGAGCCAAACCAGCTAGGGCAGATGCAGTGCTTTTAATATTGATCTCGCCCCGGCCTGGCTTCAAATATTCAAGGAAGAGGAAAGACATTCTTTCTCTGCCTGAAGTTAAATAATAATACTCAACAATAGCTACTCTGAAATCAGAGCACCTGTGCCAGGCATGCTGGTAAGTGCTTTACATGTATCCTCTTCATTCTAACAACAACTCTGCAAGGTAAGCAAAATTATTTCCACTTTATAGATGAGGAAATTAAGCCTCAGTAACTTGCCCAAAGACATGAAGGGGTTGGGATTAAAACCCAGCTCCCTCTAATGTTTGCTCCTTTGTAAGTGCATCATAAATTATCCAGCTCATTGCACTTGCTGACAAGCATTGTGCTCATTTTCTCTGATTTCTGCGTCCATTCCCAGCCTTTCTTTTCAATGCTCCACAAGCGATTCTGCCCACAGAACTCTCCAGTTATTATAAAATTCTCTAGATTTGCCCACCCTGAGTAGTGCTGGGCCCAGATCCTGAATATGCTGGACTTTCAGTTCAGGTCCTCTGAGAGGCGGATACTAAGGCAGAATGAGACGTGCGAGAGATTTATAGGAGAGACAGCTGTCCAGGATAAAGGGGAAGGGAGCGTGGGGCTGGGAGAGCCTGATACCTGAAAGGAGAGATGGGAGGGAAAATTGTGTGGGGAAGAGTCTCAGATTACAGTGTAGCTCTAAGGAGGTGTCTGCAAGACCAATGGGAATCCCAGGCAAAGGCACCTATTGGAGGAACCCTCCCTGGAGCAGAAATGGGAAGGGGGACACAAATAGGAGGCAGATGGGGGGGGGGGGGGGGAGAGAGAGGGAGGAGAGAGAGTGTTATAGCAGCAGCTGCAGACTGTCAGCCAATTAACCTTCTCACAGCAGGTTTTCCTGAAGGAAGATGTGAACTCAGCACCTC